GATATGGGCTCGCACGCAGCAGCAACATCAGCAGGTGGCAACAGCAGCAGCAGCAACAGTAGCAGCAGCAGGCAGACAGGCAGCAGCACCAACAGTAGCAGCAGAGCAGTAGCAGCAGCAGGCGGCGGCGGCAGCAGCAACAGTAGCAGCAGCAACAGTATCCGAATCAGCAGGCAGACACGCTTGCATACAGACTGGCTTGCTGACAGACAGGCAGCAGCAGTAATAGCAGCAGTAACAGCAGCAGCAGCAGCAGCAGCAGCAGTAGCAGCAGTAGCAGCAGTACCAGCAGCAGCAGCAGTAGCAGTAGCAGTAGCAGCAGCAGTAATAGCAGCAGTAACTGCAGCAGCAGCAGCAGCAGCAGCAGCAGCAGCAACAGCAGTAGCAGCAGTAGCAGCAGTACCAGCAACAGCAGTAGCAGCAGTAGCAGCAGTAACAGCAGCAGCAGCAGCAGCAGCAGCAGCAATAGCAGCAGCAGCAGCAGCAGCAGTAGTAGCAGCAGCAGCAGTAGCAGTAGTAGCAGTAATAGCAGCAGCAGCAGCAGCAGCAGCAGCAGCAGCAGTAGCAGCAGTAGCAGCAGCAGCACATCGCCCGCGGTATGTTTGCAAGCGGGATTCATTTCCGAGTGCTGCAGACACTCCGGTGCCTGACACGTGCGCTAGTCTCGCCTCACGCGTCCGGGGAGATTGGACTCGACATGAGGGCGGAAAAATTGCTGTGGGGTCCATAAGAGGAGAAATGAAAGCGCTATATATAGAGCGAGAGCGGTGCGCATGTTCCTAATTCCATATGATGCTGTGATTTGCTTTACATGCTAACACAGCCCTACGCTGTAAATTATTTCGAATTTTAATGTGACACGCTGTCGTAAATGATTCCCCTAACGTTAATTCAACATAATACATATTGAATACCGGTCGCGTTATTTACCTTGCATGTAAATTCCGCTTGATTACGTTAATTGTTGGACTGGTGAATCCACGTCACGGATGACGTTAGTAAATTACGCGGGAGCCTGTAGCAGACTGCCTTATCCTGCACTACTAGTCAGTACTAAAAACCCGAGTTTTTATCTTAAGCACAATTTCTCCACCAAACTCACGATCAGTTACGCAAAGATCAATTATTAAAACTATAACTTCATTAATTTATTATTATTATTATTATTATTATTACGATTACTATTATAATTTTCACATTTTACTTTTCATTTTAGAGTTAATTTTTGTTATCGGCATTTTAAATTTCGGAATTTAAAACTTAAATTTGTATTAATAATTTTTTAGATAAATAGTATTTCCTGCTGATGCCTTATAGGCAAGACTCGAGCATTTCGGCCACCAGAACATATATATCGTGCATCTCTCTATTCGTGGCAAGAACCCCTGAAGAACTCACACACAACGCACACACACGTATATATGAGATGTTTTGCTCCCGCCTGAATCCCTCCCGGGAGCCATCATCATTAAGCGCTTGGACCAGATTTAGCCTCGTGACCTACACTGGCCGCTAAAACAGCACATTTCATCCTCGTGCTCCTCTTCCTCGTCCCCGTACGTCCCTCGCCCCTCTTTTCGCCGCTCGGCCACTGCACGCCGGCAGGCAATACACAGCAGCTGGTGCCGACCCCTGGCGAAAAGCACCTGTACTACACAGTCCAAGGACCAATTGTTGGCGACCGTCCAAGTTCTAACATTAGCAAAGTTAGGAGCGGTCGGCGCGCGCACCTGCCGGACTGCGAGACGACCAATCACAACTCGCACTGCTGAGTGTGCGGGGGGGGGGGGAGAGCAAGCATGCAGCGCATGTAGACGCAGCCGTAAAACAGAGCACTCGACTCCGTCCGTATTCATGCTATCCGGCACGCGAGTTTTTAAATCGTAGGATGGCGACTGAAGATTGATAAATTATTCGTGCTTTAATACCCTGCCCCTAACCCTAACCCTAACCCTAACCCTAACCCTAATCAGTCACCATCCTACGTCACCATTAGTTACCGTCCTACCTTCAGTCGCCATCCTACGATTTAAAAACTCGCATCCGGCACACACCCGCCAGATAATCCGAATATCCATGCACTCTTGGCGTCATCCGATGCCTGTGCAAGGTTTCATTGAGGCAAAGTTAGAAGGATCCACGCGCACTCATGTAGCATACACACGTGCGTGCGCACACGCACGCATATACATCCACACACGTGCGTGCGCACACGCACGCATATACATCCACACACGTGCGCACACACATGCAGCACGCACGTACACACACACACACAC